CCGTGACGCGTCTGGGCGGTCCCGCCGCCCGCGTCCTCCGGGGCGAGAAAAGCCCCGTTCGTAACTACGGATCTGATGTAAGTCGGATCCGCATAACCCAGGGACTGCCTGTATACTGAAACAAGCACATTTGTACTGGCATAATATGTCCACTTTCAGGGTTGTGCTGATACAGCTATCTCAGTTAAGAGGGTTAATTTTTCATCAGAATAGTTATGACAGTACAAAAGTGTATAGGCCAGACGTAAGTATGCCATTCAGTAAAACTCATGAGTTAGTCATTAACTTGCAAATTTGGGGTGTCACATAGCAGAAGCTTATTGGCTTTGAAGATTAGAGGGCTCTAAAACCATGAGATTATTTGCATCTGTGTGTCTTCCTTATTAGCATTAATGTTTCTTTTTATTATGTATGGGATGAAATGGACAATGATCACTAGGAATGTTAGCATGTAATCGGCTCTCATGGAGCTGATTGCCCCTGTGCTGCTGCACCTCTACCAGAGGCAGCAGGAACGTGGGAAAGGGCAGGTGGTAGCCAGTGCTTATGGCGAGCTGGCTCCTGGGGAGTTTGTCTGCTGCCTGCATGTAAACGTGTTAACATGAAAATTTCAGCTGTTACATGTTTACACAAATACACTTTTATTAGCATCCATAATGATCAGCCATCCAAGCAATTCCACAAACAACGTATTTGAAAAATAAGGTATTTTTTCCCTCTTTTTCACCAGATTAATAGTTTTGGCTGGAGGAGACCAATTTAGATCAAGTCAGGCCTCCAGTGTGTTATCAGCTCTTAACATTTCACCCTGTTGCGCTTGTATGGAATCCAGTCATGTTTGGCTAACGTGTATCTTCCTTAAAGGCAGCTGGTCTTAATAGGAACAGCCCAGGACATAAGAGAATCCACCACTTCCTTTGACATTTTACTACAGCAGTAGATCACCCTCTCAGATAAAAATACATGCCTTATTTCTAACTTTGACTTTATCTGGCTTCAGCATCCTGCTATTGGTTCTGATGATTTTCTCTACCATCTTGAGTCTTAGTAAACACTAGTATGTGTTTATTTTAAATACTGTCACCTGCAGCTGTGTGTGTTGACAGTTTAATAGTCCAGATGGCACACAGCTGGAATAGCTCTGAACCTTTCTTTGTGGCTGGTCATTTTAAGTTGATACAGTTGGTTGACCAGCCAGACAGCTCTTGTTTTGATTTTACTATGCATATTCATAGCTGAATGGCTGCCAATGCTTGCTGTACATCTTTTTCAGAACCTTTTGGATGATGTGGAGGAATTCCATGAGCGTGCTCAAGAAGCCATGATGGATGAGATCCCAGATTCTTCCAAGCTGCAAATGTTGATAGACATGGGCTCTGGCCTCTATGTGGAACTTCCGGAACTGCCTCGGCTGAAGCAAGAGCTTCAGCAGGCACGTTGGCTGGATGAGGTGAGGTTGACTCTCTCAGATCCTCAGAGGGTCACGCTGGATGTGATGAAGAAGCTGATTGACTCGGGTGTGGGTCTCGCACCACATCATGCTGTAGAAAAGGCCATGGCTGAGCTGCAGGAGCTGCTTACAGTGTCTGAGAGATGGGAAGAGAAGGCCAAGGTCTGCCTGCAGGCAAGGTGAGCATTCCCTTGATAGCTGTGCCCTGTGATAGTCAGAAATCCTTTCTAGCTCAAAGGAGCCTGTCCCCTTAAGTAAGTCTAGTCTGTCTTAGAAACACAGTGATGAGCAGAGGCTGTGAAAATCTAGCCAATATCTCCACGGTTTGATGTGGTCTGACACTCACTAAAAATTTAAACTAAAGGTCATGACCAGTTGTACTAGAGATGATGCCCTGTTGGAGCTGGTAGTGGCCTAGGGAGAAGACTTAAGCATTCCCACAATGGCTTTGCTATTGTTTCTTTACTCTTGTGCATGCGCAGATCACTCCGCACCGGCTCTTCCAGGGTGTAATCTACTCGCCACGGGTGAGTAGATTACACTATTTGTCGAGCCCTGCTCATGAGACTGTCACTGTCACCACAACCACCTGCTTCCTGTAAAGGCCGTAAAGTTAAATTTGAGGTCTGTTGCTGATGCAGTGAACTCGGACCTTGGTCTGGAGGCCCTCAACTTCCTCATTTCTGCTGGAATCTTATAGTGATCAGCCTTCTCGAAGCCCACCACTATGGCATCTTGCACTGCAGTAGTGATACATCTGCCCTGCCACCTGCCCTAATCATGACTTCACATGGCTGACACTTTTTTGATATGAGGCTGGAATCAGGTTTTTCTCATGCTAGACCACGACAAAGTATGATGGCCCTGGAAAGCATTGTGAACGAAGCCAAGAACATTCCAGCTTACCTGCCCAATGTGTTGGCACTGAGAGAAGCCCTGCAACGAGCTAGAGACTGGACATCCAAAGTGGAGGCCATTCAGGTAGGACGAACAGGCAATGAAATCTGCTGGCATGTGCTCCTTTCAAACAGCTTGGTCCATGAAGGAGGTCAGAGGGAAAGGGACACTTGTTTCAACTTTTAAAGTTGCTTACCCTGTTCTTTCCATGTTGAGAACTTGAGTTCTGGGCCACTATCTGTACCCCCATGGGAAATGTGCGTCTTTCTTTTCCCATTTCCTTTGGGCATCCCACCACGAACCGCAAAGCCCATCAGTTTTCTCCACTACCTCAAATGCAACTCTGTAAAGGCACTTATTTAGTCTTAATGGTGTTATGACTACAAAATGCCACTACAGGTGAGTAGTTGTGATGCCAGACTCTGTATGTCCAGATGTCCAAGTCCTTGTTTTGATTATTCCACATATGTTTAGTGCTTTCATAAGTAACCAGAAGACTGATGTCTTCTATCTACAGATTAGATACAACATGAGCAACAGTAGTCCAACTATCCTCTTTGTACTGCCCTACCGATTTTCCTCAGCCTTGGCTAAGAGGCTCCTCTCTAGGGGAAAAAAAAAAAGGAAGTTGTCTCCATGGTCCATGCAGTTCTTGATCTTTGGACTGAGACTGTCATTGGTGGAGATGCATTTTGTTGTAAACACATGTTTACTGGGAGGTAGACTGAGAATTATCAACTCATTTCACATGGGCTCCTGAGAGGCATGAGCAAGTAACTTTGGGTTACTATTCACCTGGTTAGATTTGAACAAGCAATTGAGGTGAAATGCTGTCTGATGATTAGTTCTGTGAGCTGGCCAGTTTCATGAAATGGGAAGTTGTTACACAGGTTTAGGTGTCAAAATATCATTCAGATTGGGGTGTGAGGGGTTTTCAGGGCAAAGTCTGGCCTATGAGTAAGTTCAGTGCTGGAGTTGTGGGGTTCAGAGTATTGTGTTCGTCCCCAGAATGGTAGCAACTATGCCTATCTGGAGCAGCTGGAGAACTTGTCGGCAAAAGGCCGTCCAATACCAGTACGTCTTGATGCGCTGCCACAGGTGGAGTCACAGGTAGCAGCAGCCCGTGCCTGGAGGGAGCGCACGGCGAGGACTTTCTTAAAGAAGAACTCAAGCTACACCCTGTTACAGGTGAGCAGCAGACAGTTATGTAACTGCCCTTGGTGTCCATTTGCAATCTGAGAAGTGGGAGTATGAGTTACAGGTTACACTTCCTTATGATAGGGAATTTCAGTTCCACATGAAGCAGGGATCTGATCATGCTCAGTCTTATTTTGGTGAGGGTGTACCAAAGGTTTCTATTAACTGCTTAGAAGATTGGAGGAGACTGATAGAATAGAATGTGTGCTTGGTGTGAAGTAGAAAAAAGCTTCTGCTATGATGTGTAAATTATTCCATAGTGTAGTGTTCTTGTCTGAAAGAACAATAGATTCATCTGACTAGTATCCTTGCTTTTTACGTTGTGGATTTTTTTTATTCACAGGTTCTGAGCCCCAGGAATGATATTGGGATTTATGGAAGCAGTAAGAATAGAAGGAAAAGGGTGAAGGAATTAATGGAGAAGGAGAGAGACCTTGATCTGGAATCCCTGAGTGAACTGGAGGATGGGCTGGAGGAGACCAGGGACACTGCATCTGTGGTGAGGAGCTGTGTAGAAGGGCTAGTGTCTTCTGTGGTTTGGGGGCTTTTGAGAGAGTCAGTCGATGTTTCAACCACTGCTAATCTGTTTACATTCAAAGTTCAGCCTGCTATGTGTTCTTATTCTTGGGGATATTTTGAGGGCCATTAAATGAATGCTACTGGAATGAACACCTCAT